GCAAAGGTATCACTTGGGGGGCAGGTGGAGGGGGAATGGGCATTGCAGGGGGCAGGAGGTGGTAGGAAGGAGCAGCGACAGCAGGTGGGTATGCCATCATGTTGCGCATGATGGCACACATGCTATTGCACTGCTGCATGAGCGGGTCCCACACGCAGTTCCGCCACTCTGCATCCTCACAGATCTTCTGCGCCAGGGTCTGCAGCATGTCACGCAGGATGCTGACATGCTGCCGCATCAGGTCTTCCCAGACCCTGGAACACTTTCGAGTATCCCAGGCTCTGGCGGCTGGCTTGGGTGATGTGGTTCACCTCTCAGTCCTGACTGGTCTGGCTGTGGAGAACACAAAGAGGGAGAGGCAGTCAGTCATCCATGCAGATACTGTCCCTGAGGCTGCACCCTCCTCTGTGAGCAGCAACCAACAGTCCTCGGGCCAGATGAGGGGGATGTCTCAGGAGCAAGGAGATGTGTGGCCTGCACAGTAAACCTTGCCTCACAGGGACCCTGAGGTGCCCAGGGGATCATGCTGCCCGCTACCCCCGCCCCCTCCCCCAGCCCATGGAGAAGCAGGCAAGGGAAGTATCCGGCCATAGTGGGATCCCATGGGTGGCAAAGAAGCAGGGAGCAGCCTGGCCCTCCCTGGGGTCCACGCACACACCTGCATTTGCAGCACTGTCCATAGGACTAGGTGGTGTATCGCATGTGTAGGCATGCCCATGTGCTGTGTGTGGCACTCCTTGGTGCACCTAGGGTCATGTCTGTGCCCTTGTGGCTAGCCTGCTTCCAGCCATGGCAAGTGCTGGGAGGGCCCCCACCCCTACGGCCAGATGTGTGTGGCCTCCCCTGAACCTGGCAGCAGGATCCCACCCATGCTCCACGAGGAGTACAGCTAGTTCGGATTAGGAAGCCTAATCCGAACTAGCTACTCCGTGCCGCGTGTAGCCGTGCGGAACGGGGTTCGAACTAGCCGGGATTTAAAAATGGCGCCGGCCGGCTTCATGCAAATGAAACCCGGGAAATTCAAATCCCGGGCTTCATTTGCAATTGCGGATGACTACATTACCCCTGCTAGTTCGAACTACATTACCCTGCTTCACTGTTGCTTCCTTAGCTGGGATCAAAGGACTCTTCATGGATGTCTCTAGCTTCTGCAGGTCCTGCGGACAGACATGTGATCTGTTCTCTGGGAGCATAAACCCTGTTTTTTAGTGTAGGAAAAGTGCCACCACTCAGGGTGTGTCTAGACTACAGAGTTTTGTCGACAAAAGTGGACTTTTGTCGACAAAACTATACCTGCATCTACACTACCGCTGAGTTCTGTCGACATAACGTTGACAGAACTCAGCAGTTTTGTCGACGCTGGTAAACCTCATTTTACGAGGCATAACGCCTTCTGTCGACAGAGTTCTGTCGACAGAAGTTATTGTATGTAAACTGTCCTTGCGTCTACACTGCCATGTCGACAAAGCATCTTGCTTTGTCGACAGAACTGAATGTAGTGTAGACACTCTTTGTCGACAGAAGCTTTGTCGACAGTATCTGTCGACAAAACTTCTGTCAACAAAACTCTGTAGTTTAGACGTACCCCCAGGGTTTTCTTTTCCCTTAAGCCATCTGTGGTGGAAATACCTTACTGGTCTTTGGGTAACAGTCATCCCCATGTCATTAGTAATCTGGTACTGCATCATGGAGGCCATGAGAGAGGCAACTGTTATCTTCTATATCTTGGCCAAGCTGTAGTTTGGATAACTCTGTCCCTTTTACCTTTGTTCTTCCTGCTTTTTGCAACTTTATACAGTTTTCTGTGCTGAAAACAACTTGGAAAGTGCTTAGATGGTATGGTGATGAAGGTTGTATAGTAGCCTCATTACAGTAGAAGATAATATTTTTCTTCATTTCTTGTCCTAAACTACTGCGCAGTTTTGCTGTGAGCTGCTAAATAGTCACTGCATCCCACCAGAGAGGTGCTTGCATTTTAGTGATGGATGAAGTGATTGTTCTCACTGTGTGTTTGTATACAAACACATATAAAGATTGAAGTAATTTAGGATTCTGAGGATGAAATACACTATCTAATGTACTCTGGTGGCTTCATATTGTTGTCCTCTTTTTTGACAATTGAATGGGATGGAATTAAATTACAAAAAAAAAAAAAATAGAAAAAAAGATTGTGATACAGACCATCCTCACTGTTCCAAAAAAACGTTCTAAAAAACTTGCATTTATAGCAAAACAACTTAAAGCAGGGAATTTTTTGGAAAAGATGGCTGACTTCCATTTGTGCAAATTGGTTTTTTATTTTTTATTTGTTTTTGCATGACTTAAGAGTGGGGAATGAGAGGACGTATTACTCATCAGTTCCTTCAAGCATCAATGACTTTAGTGCTGAATGTATGTATACTGGGGCAATTGATACAGATATTGTACAGATATCAAGAAATTGAGTATTGTTTCTAAGGGATGCAGTTGTAAACCCCACTGCTTACAGGAATTTAAATTAGATCAAGCATTAGAAAATAAATGGATGAAGACTATCATGAGCTGACAGCTGATGACCACTTTAGTCATGTAGTTCAGTTCCATCTCTGTGATGCTTTCTTTTGTTGTCAAGCAATCAGATTTGTCATCAAATTTACATATGTATCCTTACAGTATCTTGACATTTTTTCCAAATCCAATTATTTTCAATAACCAGTAAATAAAAACAGAATATTATTAGTCAAACTAATATTACTATGTTGATACTTATGTGGACAGTAAAGTTAATCATAGCTACATAAAATCAACAGTTTTGAAACATCTAAAGATGTTTCCAACCTTCCAGAGAATTAATTAAATTATTTTTATTCCACTGCAATGTTAATAATGAGTGGAGGATGGTTCAAAGAATGGAAAGAGAGGAAGAATGGTTTAGATCAGTGTTTCTCAACAAGTGGTACGAGTACCCTCAGGGGTACTCAAGAGAAGTCTGGGGGGTACGTCAACACAATTGAAATGTGTAGAAAAATGAATTTTTGTTGTAAATTTTACAACACTTTATTATTTTTGTACTTTTTACACCCACAGATTTCATTGCCCACCCGGGTATGATTAAGTTGTTTAAACATATTTGTTTCAATGATAGAAAAAAAATTGTGTGTCTGAAAGCTGTTGTTCCAGGGGTACTTTTTTTTAAGGGATACTTTATAAAAAAGGTTGAGACACACAGGTTTAGATGATAGGGTGTTAACCTAGGACTCCAGGGGTATGTCTAGATAGCAGTGCTATTTTGGGATACTTCTGGTATTCCAAAATAGCTATTCCTCAAAAAAAGAGTACAGGTGTCAAAAAATCACCCCGCTGTCCGCAAAACCGTGTCTTAAACCATGGTTTCAGTTTCAAAATGGCACTTGTTAGAAACAGCTCCAGAATGTGATTATGCAAATGAAGCATGGGATATTTAAATCCCCGCTTCATTTGCACACTTTCAATGTGCTTTATTTACATCCCTTTGCCAACAGTGGGGTGTAGTGTAGACCGAGGCTTGGAGATCTAGCTTCTGTTTCCCATTCTGCAACAGACTTCCTCTGTGCCCTGGCTGAGGGAATGGAGGCAAAGAGTGACCATCTGTTAAAATGGATTTTTTGCTCCCTGCTATCTATTCCCAGGGAGTGCTGTGAGAATAAATGTGTTAAAAATAGTGAATCACTCAGACACCATAGCAATGGGTCATGTAACTATTTAGGTAGTCTTTTTGGTTTGGGGTTTTTTTTTTTTTGTTTGTTTGTTTTTTGTTTTTGAGAAAACTTAAGAGTGTTTAGCTATTTGTACAGTTCACAGTTAAAGTGTTTTTAAAGTGGATTGTCCTTGACATCAGTCAAAATGCAACACAAGTTAGCAATCACTAAAACATAAGTTATCTGGTAGCCTATGTAAAATTCTTTGGCTGAAGAGGAGTCTGACATACACGCAGTCTCCAAGATCCCAAATATTTCTTTGTCATGGAAGCTGAATATTAATGGTGTTGGATCAATTCCCCTTCTAGTTCAGATGGTCTGCTTAAGTGAGGTTGGGAACAGGATTGGGGCTGGCAGGGGCAGATTGGCACTGTCCATGCTGTTTTGTTGATAAACATCACCCATTGTGAGTTCTAAATGGGCAGGTGAGCACTTCTTCTCATTTGGCCATTGTCCCAAGGACCTTGGCCATGGCCTAATTTAATTGCAAAGAAGCCTGTATTGTTACTGTCTGTGCCTCCTAAGGGACAGAGCTTTTCAGTCCACCTAGGGCATTTTCATGTGTCCTTAATTCACCTAGGCTATGTGTACACAGCAGCGTTATTTTGGAATAACTGATGTTATACTGAAATTATAAAAAATTATACTGGATCTACACAGCAAGCCATTATTTCAAAAGAATGGCGAGATGGAGGACTTTTCACTCTGACTCCTGTAACCCTCATTTCATGAGGAGTAAGGGAAGTCAAAGGAAGAGTGCGCTTCCTTCTGCTTTCTGCTGTGTGGACGGTGCCGAATTAAGCTATTTTGACTTAGCTACACAATGTAATGTGGCAGCTTAATTAGACTTGTGCCCTGCTGTGCAGAGGTGCCCCTAGAGAAGGAGCAGGAGGAAATCATCAAACATTTGTTTCTCTTGCACCATTGAAGTGTGACTCATTAAGAGGGCTGAAGGAACGGCTCCCCCAGTACAAGGAGACCCTGACAAGTTGTTACATGTGTAAGGATTTTCATTACAAAGTTACCAAGCACAAGCTGCAGGGGGAGGAGGAGGTAACACACAGCCTCGTTCCATGAAATCACCTCCTCCCTTCTTCCACTGGGGCTTCAGGGCGGGGAGTGGAGGGTGGAGCAGGTGCCAGGGCGTGGCTGGATCCGCTCTCTTTGTGTGTCGTCTTCTCGCTTTCTTCCAGCAGAAGGAGCCACTCAGTGAACAGACCAGGGGAGGGAGATTCTGTGGCTCTCAGCTCAGAGGCAGGCCGCCTCTGTTTGTATCCCCCCCCCTCCCTTCATTGTTCCCTTCCCGTCAGAAGCCCCTGCAGCTGCAGGCGCCGGAGGAGGAGGCTGCCACCAGCCCGGTGTGAGCAGGCGAAGCGCCACACGCCCAGCCAGCTCCAGAGCGCATCACCGGACCAGCCTTTGCTGGGCAAGCGGGGATGGACTTGCAGCGCTCAGTCTGAGCTGCTCTGGCTCGTTCCGGGATCTTATTAGGAGAGGAAGAAGCAGAACTCAGCCGCCCGCCAAGAGAATTAGCCTGATTGCAAGGCACCTCCAGGAAGAGGACATCTTCTTGCAGAGTCGCTTGCGGGAAGGATCCCCCCGCCTTTCCAAGCATCCCCTGCCTGGGCTCGCCCCTTGGGGGAGGAAAGAATCGCGATGAGCCGCTCGCCGCTCGCCTGGCTTTTGCTCTGTCTGAGCCTCGGGGGGCCACACATCACCAAAGGTGAGCAGAGGCACGCCAGGGGCTGTGGCCGCAGGGCAGTGCGGAACGGGCTGAGGGGCGTCCGTGGGGCAGGGGGTCCCAAAGTCAGAAGCGAAGTGCGGAGTGAGGCTTGACGCAGGCGATTGGGGGGGAAGGGGACGTGAACTACTGGAAGCTGTGCATAATGCAAAGCTGTGACGGGGCGGGGGGGGGGGGGGGAGGTTGTGTGTGTCGAATTAGGCGCCCTCAGCACACATGTGCTGATCAGTAACTGCTTAATTAGTGGGAAAGATACGGCTGGGATCTTAAATGTGATCCAGAGGAGCGAGTGGGAAGACTCATGTCCACAGAGGGGTCCCCATCGTCCCTTTCCATGTTTAAGGCTGTTAATTCGGTGCTGAAGAGCCAGCAAAAAACGCTGAACAGTTTGCAAACACATCCACGGGCTTTTCTGCCGCTGTACTAATGAACGCCTGTGTCAATCTGCGTTTTGGCTGTCTCTCTAACTAGGACATTCTCCATCTGAAGCGTGTGTGTGTGGAGGGCGACCCCAGCCCTAGTCCGATGGGTTTTTCATTGATCCCTCGCCCCTTCCGTTATAAAAGTTGCCGGAGCTCATCTTGATGAGCTCCTAATGACCCAAGGCTGCGCGGGGAGGGAGGGTGTTAAATGTTTCTAAATACAGAACCTGGGGAAGGTAGGTGTGATCCTCTTGGGGGGGCGGAAGAGGGATATTGAGAAATATGAAGCGCTGCTGCTGGTTTCAAGTTTGTAGCTACAGGGGAAGGGGTGTTGGTCCACAATTGAGAAGCGCTCTCTCTCTCTCTCTCTCTCTCTCTCTCTCTCTGGCAGACACTGAAGCATCCTTCCTGGGAGGGAGTGTGCTTGGAGGGGGGTGACAAGCGGGTGGGAAAAGCCTTCGAGCACCTTGCGGGCTTCCAGGCTGAAATCCCTCTCTTTCTCTCTGTCTCTGACTGCAGCCCCAGGGGAAAGTTCCCCCGGAGCGGAAAAGAGACCTGCTATTCCCACCTCCCCCACAGAGTGGGAGGGATTCGTCCAGCGCAGCGCTGAGCAGCAGGGGCTGAGAGATCCCCCGCTACGGGCGGCTTGTCAGTGTCTTTCCTGGTACGATCGCAGCCGCAGCCAAGGTGCTGGAGTGCAGCCTGCTGCGTAGTTAGGCTCCCAGACGCAGCGAGCGACTCGCCCGCAAGCGGAGGTTCCCCACCCGCCGGGCTGGTCCCCGCGCGGGTTGTCTCTGTCTCCGCGCTCGGGCTCTAGAGCAGCGAGAGGAGGCGTGGGGCTGGGGCGGGGGGATGCGCGAGCCGCTCCCGGCGCCTGTCCCAGGAGGGTGGCGAGGAGCGCAGCCCCCGTGCGGGTGGAGGCGAGAAGGGTTGGGCGCAGCCAACTGCAGATTTAAGATCCCCAGCCGAGTTGGGAGCTCTGCGCTGCGGGCACTCCCCTCTCCTGCTGCTGCTTCGTAAATCACCGCCTCTGCCCAGCAGCGCGCACCCAGCCCAGCAACTGCTAGGGATAAGGCTGGCCCAGCAAAAGCCAGCTGGCGATCGGGGTCCCGCACCCTTCACCGGCAGTGATGTAGCAGCTGCTTGCTCCAAAGCCTCTAGCACTGTGTGTCAATGAAACGAACCGGTCCAGTCCGCCACTTCCCTCCCCTGCTGTCATTTACATCTTTCCGCGGGGCCATCCTTGCAAATAGCTGCCTGTGCCGCTTGAGTTTCTCCTCCGCTAGATCCCAACTGATAACCGCGGCGGGAACTTACAAGCAGTACGGTTGTATCCAACCCCCCACCCTCCTTTTTTTAAATCATTACTGTAGCATAAAAAGCCAGGCGGTAAGGGTTAAGGCACTGCGATGCACTACAAAAAGCGATGCGATTTTTGTCATTCTTGTACAGAGCAAGTATTAGTAGAGCATATGGCTGGCTAATTTCTTTAACATTTAGACTTGGCTCCTTTCATTAACCATTTTTTATTTTAAAATTAAACCAATGTATCAGTCAAATTGAATATTTTATTAGCTCTTAAATTATTCATTGCTACAGGCTGCTCTCAAAATCCAATAACGTTCATACAGTTGCAGCAAGCATGTGATATCTTATGCAATCTGTCCTTGTACCTGCAATTTCTGCCTGAAGTCTTTTAAGCAAAAGGTATTATATCTGACAAAGTCTAGACATGTCTTAAACACTCTGCCCTGGAATTGCTCATGACTGACTGCTACACATCTAAGCCTTTTTCTTCTAGTTAAAGCATGAGAGTTTTTTAAGGTGACTGGAGGATTAAATTAATCATTATTTTTCTACAGAGCAACATACCTTGTAGAGATAGCTTGCCCATTTTTACATAATGAGTTGAATTGTAATTGTTAAAATCGTTTTCCATTTATTTTAAAATGTTAATGATCAGCAAATAGTATTCTGAGTCTTCATAACATGTTAATAATAGTTCTTAAATCTATTAACTAAATTAATCTTGCTCTTTGGCATAAAACTGTAATAGGCATTCTCAACATTAGGATGCTACAGTGCTTCTAAAAACTTTTCAGACACTCCCAAACTTTTTCTATGCTTTGTTAAATGTAATCTCTCCTGATAAACATCAAATTTCAAAATAAAAACTATGCAGTAGTGCCATCATTTATGTGATCAGCTCTGTGTTACTTAGCTGGTATTCACCCAAAAGCAACACAGATGGAAATCAAGTAATATGATTAGTTAATGAGTTGTGTTACTGATCTACTGTTATAGGCTTCTGTTCTTACAGCCAGGGCATGGTAATATGTACTTAGATTTCCTTGGATATCATTAAATGGAATTTAAAAATTATAGTTATTGTATATGAATGCTGAAAATGGTTATACCAATTGCTGTTAACTCCTTGTCTTTAAAATGTGTGTTTATGGTAAAGTTTTATGTGCAGTGGATGTATACTTAACTAGAACAATGGTATAGTAAATCACTAAGTTGTCTTTTATGGAGGACAATAATAATGATGGAATAGTCTGGTCATTACAATGAGAGAACCTGATTTTTTTTCTTCTATTTTATTTTGGCCACTCTGGCAAACTTTGCAATATCATACACTGACAGAGGAGTTCGATCTTCAGATTCTTGTTATATGCACATATATGTGAAAACTAGGTTGAGCGGGGATGACTACTTGTAACATTTAGCTTTCAAGAAGATGTAAATGAATTGTTTGAAAGGGAGTAACTGGTGTTTTGATATATTTATAAATGACAGTAAAAGGCTAACCTTTCTTTTTGTTGATGTTCTTTGGTAAAACCTGAGCACAAGAAATCTGATGTGTCATTTATTGAACAGACAGCAGCTACAGTGGAGAAAAGGTTGATTTATGATGGAATAAAAACGTTGTCTCTTTTCTATAGAAACAATACAAGGATATTAGTTTGGTTTGTATCACTTTTTAGAAACTAATCGAAATGAAGAGGAGTCTTACGAAATCTTGCAACTATTTGCAAAAATGGTGACTGAAATCGTGTCAATATTTATAATGTCAGAGATCAAAAAAATGTAAATGGTCTGACTACTTGAAATGCTTTGTTTAAGATTACTTTCTAAGTAACTTTAGAAATAGGTTGTAAGGTTTGTCAATGTTTTGTGATGAATTTGTGTTCTTTTGTGAATTGCAGTAATATGTCAGAGACATTCTAGAAAGTCTTCATATGTGATTTCAATGTTTCATTGTCTTTCATTAATGGATCTTGTTTATTCACTATGAATCAATACATATTTAAGCAGAATCAATCCCAAACTGATGAATTTCAGAAGAAAAAGCTGTGAAAGACTTTGTGGTACTGATCTGTGTTGAGAATGGACTGTTAATCAGATATACCCTCACCAGTAGGTGTCAGAAGTGTCAATGGAGTTTATTTACACAAACTAAGAAGTAAAATCACTACCCAAACATGTCATGTGATCAAATGGGTAATTAACCATTAGGATTACCTCAATGAAAGAGAGAGTGCAAAGTTAAGAAATGTTTAATATTTAACAATTCCTGTAATTATGTGTATATTTTAAAGCACATTTTCGAATAGCACTTGCTCAGTAAATTCAACTCATGGTAGATTTTTTTTGCAGGAAATAGACACCGATCTGTATAGTGCCCCTGCATTGAACAGTTTCTGTTCAGAGATAATGGGAAGTCTTTACACAGAAATTTAGCAAACCGATCGCCAAAAAAAGTCTATAAGCTTTTTTTGTCAATGTCTGGGGAGCCTGAGAAAATATTTTTAAACCTCTAAGAAAAAACTTTTCCAAAAGATGAAGCATTTTTGCCATTACAATACAAAAACATAATTTATTCCAGTGCTTGGAAGCTTCTCTAAAGCCTGCTGCTACAGCTGGAATGAACAGCGTGGTGCAGCAGTACTGAGAAACCTCAGAGATGAATAGCAGAACATGATTGTTCAAATCTAACAACACTGTAAGACTGAAAACATCACAGACTTAAGATTTCCCTGTCTTATGTCTCAGTGAACCTTTTTGCATCTGTGGACAACATCAACTTCTCTACAAATAGCTGACAGCATGACCTGGCATAGGGGTTTCTCACTGTTCTTTAGCAGATTACCTTTGTATTCAAATTTGTTTCAAGAGCCTGCTGTGTAGTAGTTAGTATATAACATGCAGCAGGGTACAATAATGTAAGACTTGGCAGGTTTGGGCAGTAGCCAATGTCAAGCCATTCATTGTTTCAATGTGGATTCCTTTTTCAAAGAGTTCTTTTCAATAAAAATGAACAGACAATTTATGTGAAGCTGTGTAACAAAGACCATGTTTGCAGAATGAGTACTTAAGTGCCCCTTTCTGCTAGTCTCATAGCAGTTAAAATGCATGAGGGTTGTGTACACTCGGAAAGTTCCTTCAAAAGTAAATCTCTTGCCATTACAAGCCAGATTCTGATATCATTTCTTAACCTGAATAAACAGCTTGCTCCACAAATGGTCTTACTGACTTCATGGGAACACTCATAGGGCA